GAAGAAAAGGATATGACAATTTTCACAGACGTAGAAATCTAGGGTGTACATCATAAAATACAAGTTTTCAAATGAATTTTTTGAGAAAATGGTATTATTGTAAAGATAAAAAGTAGAGAAATGTTTGTCTATTTTTGACTAATAATTGAAACATAACTAAAGTGAAAGACTTTCATCTGAAGGTTAAATACTAAGAAAAAATTCAAAAGTATTCTTTTAGTAGCTGTTTCCTCTTCGTAAACAGTATTTCATCATGTGATATTATAATATCACATACATGATGGATTACTTTTCATAAGAAAACATTAGCTGTAATATTACCTAACACAACCAAGACATAAAATCTCTATTGTTTAAAAAAATTAATATCAACTGTAAGAAGTCAAGTCATGAAAATAATATTCAAAAGTAAAGCTCAATGATCTAGTCGTTTGGTAAAGAACATTTGTCCGAAATTAATGTAATACTGACATCTAGTGTTATTAGTATTAACCAATGAATTAGTTGACAATGAATCATCTATTTCATAAATGAACTAGTTTCGATTAAGTACGAAGACTAGATTTTCATTGTAAAATTTATTGTATTAATAAACAATGTTCAAAATTCAAAGATATAATTTAAGATCTTTTCATTTACCAAATTTAATTACTACTACACATCGATGGTTGACAACTTTTAGTTATGATTCTTTATTGAAATTAAAAGTTGATTCAACTCCTATTCAAGGTATTGTTAAACAGCCTATTAATTGTTCAATTTTTCAACCTTATGATGTCGTTGTTGTTGGTGGTGGTCATGCTGGTTGTGAAGGTAAATGATTTCAATGAATGTTGTATATTTGTTAATATTTTAATTTTAATCTAGCTGCACACGCATCAGCACGAATGGGTGTTCGAACACTTATGGTATAATTAAAAGATCTAGTCAAAAAAAAAATCATCTTTTTTTTGTTTTTTGTATTTAATTTTTTAGATAACTCATAAAATAGAAACAATTGGTGAAATGTCTTGTAATCCATCATTTGGTGGCATTGGTAAAGGACATTTAATGCGTGAAATTGATGCTCTTGAGTATTTTTATTTTTTGATTCATATTTTCAATATATATTCTCTTGTTTTTCTTGTTAGCGGTCTTTGTGGACATCTTTGTGATAAAACCGGTGTTCATTATAAAGTTCTTAATCGAAGTAAAGGTCGAGCTGTATGGGGATATCGAGCACAAATTGATCGTAAATTATATAAACAAGCTATGCAAAATGAAATTCTTAATACATCTAATTTACATGTTATGGCTGCAGCTGTACGTGATATTGTTATTGATAAAGAACAATTACGTATAACAGGTATAACACTTGATAATCATACATTAATTCCATGTCAATCTGTAATTATTACAACGGGAACATTTTTACGTGGATGTATTAATCTTGGTATGGATGAACAAAAACCAGCTGGTAGAATTAATGATCAACCATCAATTGATTTAGCAAAATCAATTGAAGAACTTGAATTTAGAATGGGTCGATTAAAAACTGGTTAATTTTGTGTTTTTTTTGTTTAATATTTATTATTTAATAATGAATTTTTGTTCTGGAAAAATTTAGGTACACCAGCTCGATTAGAAACAAAAACAATTAATTTTAGTAAAACAATTGTACATCAAGGTGATAATCCACCATTACCATTTTCATTTTTAAATAAACATGTTTGGATTAAACCTGAAGAACAATTAAATTGTCATTTAACAATGACAACAGCTGAATTAGCTGATATTGTTCGTCGAAATGTTCATTTAAGTCGACATGTATCACAAGATGCTCGTAGTCCACGTTATTGTCCATCAATTGAGTCAAAAATTCTTCGTTTTAAAAATCAAACTCATCCAGTATGGCTTGAACCTGGTTAGTTAATATTTTTTGAAACATTATCTAAAAGGAGTGTTGAAGTATACCGAATAGAAATTTGCACTCCCACAGACAACTTAGGAATATTTTCGTTTTGTCACTAGTCCGAAAATTTTTCGAGTCGGATTCCAGTTGGATCTGAGACCAATCCGATGGACTCTATCCATCACAGACATTCTAGCAATATCCCTACGTGATAGACGTTGTTCACATATGATCACAGATCGTATATCAATAACGCAAGGGGGAAACGGCGGACTTGAAGTAGAAAAGTACGTCAAAGTAGAGTACTTGAAGTAGCTCAAAGTACCACCCAAGTAGCCCAAAGTAACTTCAAGTCCAAAAGTCCGCCGTTTCCCCCTTGCAATAACGCCTTGTTATAATATATGACTTATTGTATTTCTTGAGAATTAAGTAAAAGGGAAGGCAAAGAAGTATATTCCAAAATAAATTGAATAGAACAATTTCCTTGTGGGTTGACAGCAGCAATTATATTGTATTTCATATTTTAATATTGCAGGAATTGCGCTAACGGTTTTTGTTTCTTTGTTGAATTTCAAATTTCTTCGTTTTTTGATTATTTCAGAAGGTTTGGATTCCGAATTAACTTATCCACAAGGTTTAAGTTGTACATTGCCTATTGATGTACAATTACGTATGCTTCGTACAATACCATCTCTTGAAAATGTTAATATGGTTCGACCAGGTTATGGAGTTGAATATGATTATATTGATCCAAGAGAAGTAAAACCAAGTTTAGAAACAAAACGTATTACAAATTTATTTTTTGCTGGACAAATTAATGGGTAAAATTATTCAATTTTTTTATTCGATAGTTTATATTTGGGTTTTTTTTATTTTATAAATCGTAGAACAACTGGATATGAAGAAGCAGCTGGACAAGGTATTATAGCTGGTATAAATAGTGCATGTAAAGTATTGAATAAACCAATGTTTACAATTAGTCGAGGTAAAACAAGTTTTTTTTTTTTTTTTTGAATTATTTAAATATGATTTCTTTTTCATCATAGGTGAAGGATATATTGGTGTAATGATTGATGATTTAACATTACATGGTGCAAGTGAACCATATAGAATGTTTACAGCACGAAGTGAATATCGTGTATCTCTTCGGTAAACACAGAAAAACAAAAAGAATTTCATTGTATTTATTTTCTTTATAAAATGAAAATGTTTTTTTGTTCAGGGCGGATAATGCCGATCTTCGTTTAACACAAGCTGGTTATGATATTGGTTGTGTAAGTGAAAAACGTTATAATCAATTTCAAACTTTTAAAACAAATTATAATCGAGCTAAAGAATGTTTACAAAATATAAAAAAACCAGTTCATATTTGGCGTCATTTATTAAATTCACCATCAGAATCTAATACATATCGAGATGATACATTAAAATCACTTTATTCACTTGTTCATCAAGCACCTTATATGATGGATAATGGAAAATGGCTTCCATTAGTACCAGATGATGAAGGTATACGTTCAATGCTTTTATCTGATAATGATTTATGTGAACGTTTATGTCTTGATGCTGTTTATGAATATTTAACAATACGACAAAAAAATGAAATTGATGAAGTTAAACGTGATGAAGCATTTATTATACCAGATACATTTGATTATCAAAAATTACAAATATCAAATGAAGCTAAACAAAAATTAGGAGAAGTACGACCAACAACATTAGGTTCAGCTAGTCGAATACCGGGTGTAACACCTGCTACAATATTTTGTTTATTAAGAGCATTAAAAAAAGAACCACAATCATCTTTATTAAATATTTAAAATTTTTAATTTTGTTTTTTTTTTTGTGTACAAATTATTTTGTTCTAGTTTTAATAAACGATAACATTGGGTTGAATATAAAAGCATGACTTAGAACATATTAACAGTAAAAAGATGTACAAAGTAGAGTTTAATTAAGCAAGTCGATTTTTTTCATACGAGTGGTTTTCTTATCCGATCATTTTGCATGAAGAACTTTCACATATTAGTAATAGCACGCAATGCGTAATGATTACGCTATCTAAGTAATAATGAATGATCTCTAACTTCTCATTTGATTGATGAGTTCTATTAGATAATAAATGAGTAGCGGAAGGAAGATTTTGGGTTTGGAAGCTCAATCTTCCTCTAGGGATCTTTGAGTCGCCGCTGGCGTGATTTTTTGAAAGATGTATAAGCCTTTGCAACGAAACATTTTAATTCATATATTTTATTGTGTGAAACTCACATGGATTTTCGAGGTTATGACTCATAACCTGATATTTACTCTATTTTGTCTTCTTCGAAAACACATATGAGTACCATAAAATAAGATGTATGTTAAAACGTTTCACTGCAAAGACTAATATATCTTTCAAAGAATCTCGCTAGTGGGAATTCATAAGCTCGTAGAAGGAACTGAGCTTCGTCTGGCTCCGTCACTGCAATAAATATGATTAACAATTTCTCCTCTCTTTATTATTATTTTTTAATAACTATCAGATGAATTAATTTAGGAGAAAAAAGAAAACAAAATTTTTAAATCAAATCTCTTCATCATTCTACAACAGGTAAGAAATACTAATAAAAAATATTTGTTCTTTAATTTGCAAGAATATATTTCGACATTGATTACTTCCTTCATAGAAAAATCCTTAACAGTAATTGTCATTTCAAATATAACAACTAAATCTTGTTTCATCTTAACGTTATGGAATTGAATATGATTTGTTTCTCTTGTTACACATGATAATTTCATTCGAATAAGACACATTCATGTCTGAAGTTAATTTAGAGAACACTTAAATGAGCATAAAATTAATCATAAGATTGCTTTTATTTTTTATTAATATTTATAAAGACTTTGTTTTGATAAATCTAATAATCCATATAGAACAATAATTGCATGAGAATTAGCATAAAAAAAGAAGAAAAGAAATGATTAATAATAACATGCAAAGCTGAGGAATTGTTTTTCTTTTTTTTTTTCAACAAAAAAGAAAATAGAAAGTATGTGGTTTTGATATGTTTTGCTGAAAAAAAATAATATGTCGAAATTGAAAAAATGACGTTCTTTTTAATAAGATTAATTATTTTTCTTGAAATAAAATATCAGTTAAACTGTCAAGTATATCATGAACTGATATTCCTTCTAAATTAGTTAATATAATAATGCACGCGTTATCTTTCGGAAACCGAGCTAAACAACTGTAAAAACCAAATATTTCACCAGTATGTTGTTGTTTTATTCTTCTATGTTTTAATCGCTCGACTTCCCAACTTAAATTAAATAAAAACAAAAAAAAAAAGAAATTTTTGCTGTATAGAAAAAAAAGATTTCTTTACCCAAGTGCATAATGTTCTTTAACTGGTTTAAACATAATTTTTTTCGTATGATTATTTAATAGTTTTTCTCCATATAAATATCGATCTAAACGATATAAATCTTCAATAGTTGAATAAATTCCTCCAGCACTACGAACTGTTGACATATTTATAAAACGACATGTGTCAAAAGAATTTGAATCTGTACTACATATATAACCACATGCACGTTGATTATGTTTTGTATTTAATATAGGATTATTATCACATTCATAACCTGTGTCATTCATACAACATGGTTCAAGAATAAATTCTCGAAGATTTGTTTCATATGATTTTCCAGTTACTTTTTCAATAATTAAGCCCAATAAAATATACTAAAGAGAAAACTTTTTTTTTTAAATAAAGGTGTCAGTAATTCAAAATTTGAGCAAAATGTTATTTTTTTGCCATATTCAGATAATGATTTTGTAGAGAAAATTAGGTTAAAAAAATTGAAATACATCAAAAGCATCAAGTCTCGTTAGCCTCAATATTTATCTGAATTGTTTTTTATTTATTAAGTGTATCTTTTGAAAAATATTGTTTGATTTTTTCGATGTGATAGCAAAAAAATACTATAAATACGGGCTTGTATTCAATGAGTTTGACCATGAGAAATTCAGTTCCGAAAGAAATAAATATCATATTCATAATCAGCATACAAAAATCTGTATCGAATCTAATTTTTATAATTAGACTGCTTCAGTAAGAGGCAGGAAATTAAAAATTTAAGCAAATCTTTATCTTCAATTTATTCAGTGTTATTGGATAGAGCACATCGTGTTACCTATGAAAAACTACTTTTCAAGTTGTCGGAAACAGGTGTTTCCTAGAAATATTAAAAAGAAAACGACTAAATTCTAAATATAATAATTAGAGTAGTGCATTATGACAGATGTAAAAATATTTTTTCATTTTGTAGAATATTGCAAGCATTATTTCCTGATTCTGCAGATAAAATTGACCGAAAAATTATGTACATAAAATTTTTTGTAGTCAATTTAATCTGCAAAATCAGAAAATAATGCTTGTAATATTGTACAAAGTCAAAAAAACGTGTTGTCATAGTTGACGAGTCTAGTGGTAGTATCTAGAATATAGTCTTTTTTCTAATATTTCTAGAAAACATTTATTTCCAAAAACTGGAAAAGTAATTTGTCGTAGGTAAGTTGATGTGCTCTATCCAACAACCTTAAATAAATTCAGAGCAAAAATTTTGTTAAAATTTTCAATTTCCGCCACCTTACTGAGGCAGTCTAATTATGAAAATTAGACTCGAGTATTGAGTATACTATCCACTGCAGATTTTTGTGCTGATTCTGAATATGATGTTGGTTTTTTTTGCCGAAACTAAAGTTCTGATCTTCAGACTCATTGAATATAAACCCGTATTTATGGCATTTTTGCTATCATATCGAAAAAACTGTTTTTTTTTTCAAAATTTGCATCCTAACTATATGACGAGTAAAATCAAAAGAAATATTTATATAAATATTGAGAGTTGATGCTTTTTGAGGTATTTTAATTTTTATAAACGTTTCTGATTTTTTTTAAACCTAGGTTTCATTACAAAAATATCATATAAATATATCAAAAACAATATATCAATAAATAATTTGACGAGTTCTATCCCATCATGACAAAAAAAGAAGAATTTTGCTCAAACGCTAACACCTTAATAGAAAAAGAATTTGTTGTTTTATCTTACATTTGAATTTGAATAACTATATTTCGATCCAGGTTTAAATTTTAATGGTTCATTTTTAAATGTGTCAATTAATTGATCAATAGTTAAATCTTCTTGACATTTTCTTTCAAACGTTTCCATTTCAGTATAATCTTCAATACCGGATGTATTTGAAAGTAAATATTTTATTGTTATTTGATTACTATGTGGATAATCAGGATAATAAAGTGATAATTTATTATTAAGATTTAGTTGTTTTTTTTCATGTAATTTAAGAATCATTATAGCTGTAAATGGTTTTGTTACACTACCAATACGAAATATTGTTTGACTTGTATTTTTTTCTTGACATCCGTATTCTGAACAACCGTAACCTTTTATAAGTAAAATTTGATTATTTCGAGCTAATAGAATTGAACCACTAAATGCTTTATCGTTAACAAGTGATTCTAAATAATCATCAGCTTGTTGAACAATTAAATCTGCATTTTCTAATGTAATGAATGAAGATTCTAATATAAAAAAAAATGTAACATTTTTTTTTTCTAAATGTAAAATAATTTTTTTTAATTTTTACTCTTTCTCATTCCACAAATCCATGAAGATTTGATGTGATCGTTTGTTTTAGATGATTCCATAGATTTCATACAGGATGACCTTGTTTTTTGCTTAGTATTTTTTTTTCATCTCTGTTTTGTTGTTCCTATGGGAGGAAAAAAACAGGAAGGCAAAAAACAGCGTGGATAAAGAAAGAGAATAAGAATAGAAAAAAAAAGCATGTCTTCTAGAGCTTCCACCTGTTATGAGAAGATTGACATGGAGTAACATAGAAAAAAAAATTGCATTTGATTGTCGTAGTCACTTCGGATATATATTAAATCGCGAAACAATTCATTATTGTCTTTCGAAAGGAAATAAAATACTTATTCTTTCAGCATGAAGAACTTTTTAAAATAATATTAACTACATATTGATTCTCTATTTATAGATCAATTAACGTGTAGAAATAGTTAATAGTTTCACTTTTCTAGTTTAATTCTCCATGTCGTCTGATGTTATTCTTCATATGCCAATTACTTCACATGTGCGACGAGGACGAGTATGCATTAATATTTAATAGCAACATAGATTTCTTTTGTTTTTACATATGTAATTAGATCTATCCAAGTAAAACTGTTTCCTATTGTGGTTCATGTTGGACATATAAATCTTGGTGTGTGGTTGTTGCTGTTCTCACATTTATTCTCGTTTTAGCTGGCTTACATATTGGTTGGGAGTAAATATTATTGAGTTCTCAATTATTTTGCAAATATATATATATATTGTTTTTTAATCATAGTTTTCCTATACTTGTTAAACATGGTCATGTATATTTCCCAATTCTCTTTATTCTTGCACTTTTTTATACAATATTAAATTATTTATTTGCATGTTTACATGATCCTGGTGTTGTTCCACGACCAAACACTGATGAAGTTCTACAAACAGAAAAAGAAAATAATATTCAAACTGATTTGTAAAGATAAAAACATTTTATTATTTTTAAATTAAAATTTTAGAGCAAAATGTTTTTTTTTTGTTTTTCATTAAGAAATGGAAATTATTTTCCATCTGTTCCATTACCACAAACAATTCTTGTTCGAAATTTTCCATATTCATCAGCTTATTGTTATACATGTCGAGTTTATCGTTTACCTCGTGTTTCACATTGTTCAACATGTAATGTTTGTGTTCAAAATTTTGATCATCATTGTCCATGGAGTAAGTACTTTTTTTTAAATGAAAAATAAAACAACGATTAATATAAATATTTTATTAATATGATACAAAATATTAAATTATCTTTTAATAAGGATTATTTAATCATTTGAAAAAAGTTTTTGTTTGCTAATCTTAAGAGGATATTTTTGCTAATAGTTCAAATGTTGTTTTTTTTGTTGTTTCTTTTTAGTTAATAATTGTGTTGGTTTATTGAACTATCGTTATTTTTGTAATTTTATTCTTTCATCTTCAATACTTTGCTTAATTAATTTAGCTGGTTGTGGAGTAGCAGCATATCTTCGATGGGATTTGTATAAAAATGATCCAGGACTTTATTTTGCTTATAATATTCCAAGTTTTTTTATTGGTTTTATTGCATTTATACTTTTCTTTACATTAGCATCATTTTGGTGTTATCATTTTGGATTAGCAATGAGTGGTGCAACAACAAGAGAGGATATTAAATTTCAACGATATTCAAAAGAAATCGGTGTTCCTCGAGGTTCAAAATGGAAAAATTTAATTGTTTCATGGTGTGGTCCATTACAGCCATCGTTAGTTTTAATTTTAGTTTTTGAAAAATTTTATATGAAATTTCTTTTTTTTTTGTTTTAAGAGTTAATTGGAATGAATTATATGATAAAGATCATTATAAAAATCAAGAATTAATTTATAAAAGTTTACGTCCAACATTATTAAGTAATACATTGATTGTACCAACACAACAAATTCGAGAACATATTCGAAATTTAGCAATTAATAATTATGTGGGTTTGAAACAACAAGTTGAAGCATTTCATCAAAATATTAGAAAAAGAACAGATGTACCCGAACGTTCATCATCATTAACTTCTGTTGATACAAATAATCGTCTTCAAGCATATGTTATTGCAGTATATCTTAATATTTTTTAGTTTCTATTTATTTTGTTTTTAATTTTTCATTTTATAGATTAAAAATATTGGAAATTATCAAATCGATGTTCGATATTTATTAGTAGATGGTAATAAATATTAAAATATAGATGTAAGAACCAAAAAAAAATAAGAATTTTTCTTTTAGGTGTTCGTCAGAAAAATCTTTCAACGTTTTGGGATATAATATGGTCACGAAATATATCATCAATTGTTATGCTTTATGAACTAACAGAAAATGTAATAAGATTATTAAAAAATAATTTAGTGATTCGTTAAGTAGGTGTTCCATCTTCTGATATTATAACATATTGGAAGGTAAAACACACTAACTTTAATGTCACCATATTGGAACACAATGAAACACCTGCTAAACGAATACCATAATTTAATAAGATTTTGTTTTAATTTTTAGAATCATTTAATTCAATATTGGCCAAATGAATCGAATTCTTCAATGACAATTGATGATAAATATCAAATTGTTTTTATTCGAAAAATAAAACGATTAGATATTGAAACATTTCAATTTAAAATGCAAAAAGTTCGATAAAATAACGACATACTAGAAAAATAATAATAATTCTTTGATTTAGATTGGTGAAAATGAAATTCATCATATTGAACATTTTCAAGTAAAGGGTTGGACTGATACAATGTTTACAACTGATCCAATTGCTTTATTACGTCTTCAATATTATATTAGTCAAAAACATTTAGAAGAAGAACGTAATGAAAATCTAGGAATTATTGCTATACATTGTTGGTAAGAATTAAAATTAAAAAAAAACAAAGAAATCATTTTTATTCTTTATCTCAGTGAAATTAATACACGAGCTGTTGCTTATATGACTATCGATATCAATCGATGTTTATTAATGTCGTATGGTTTTATCAATGTATTAAATACAATAACACAATTAAATGAACAATTACCAATATGTTTAATGGATGAAGTAAGTTAATAATAACAAAAACAAAAATTCTTTTCTTTTTTAAATAAATATTCATAAATTTAGTTTATGTTAATTGTTATTTATACAACTATATTACATCTTTCATCATGGACTTATTTACCTGATATAACAACATTACAAGCATTAGATCATCAAATTAAAAATTTACTTGGTAATAGATTTGCACGATTTTATCATAATCCATTATCGGATCAATTTCATGTAACTATTTTCTTTAATTGATTATTTCTAAATTTTTCTATTCATTCTAGATATTTTTAAACAATAGTTTAAAAGAACTTGATGCTATTATTCCATCGAGTATGTTGATTAAAATATCTTCATCTAAAAAATGAAAATAAATCAATTATTTCTGGTTTTTAGATTTAGAAAATCGTTATTTACCAGCTGTTGTTGATCATAATTTAGTTTATTTTATTGATGTAAGTAAAATTTCATTTAAATTTTATTATTATTTGAAAATATTTTTATTTAATTAAAAATAAAAGAGTTATATTCATTCAAAAGTATTTGTATTAACAATTTGTCGTGATTATGATAGTATATTACAAATAATGTCAACATATGAAATTCAACATTGTTTTTTATTTCAACAAAATACTGATCAAGTAATTTTTTTTGTTCATATTGGTATATTTTATTTTTATAAAATAAATAATTTAATTAGAATATAGATTTAATTGAAAAACAACAATTAAAACTTGATAGTAATTATCAATCAAACGATTTTCGACGTTATTATCAGTCGAATATTTATATTTATCAACCAAGTATTTGTATTCGAAATATTCCATTATATAAACTTTCTCGATCTATTGTAAATCTTGATCAAAATGATCATATACCAATATTAATTTGTATTGAGTACGATTTTTATTCTTTATTTTCTATTTGAATAGATTAGAATTATTTTTTGTTTCTAATTATTAGTGATATTCGAGAAGGTGCTATTATTTGTCTTATTGCAAATTTAATGGAACAATTAATGATTGATAATATAGTTGACATTTATCATCAAGCAAGAAAAATTGCATATTCATGTCCAGCTTTTCAAAGAGAAGTACAATAATTGAGTTCTATATTGTTTTCTTTTATTATAATTATTATTAATTTAGGATGAATATAAACATATGTATGAATGGCTTGCACGATGGACAACAAATGATCTTAATAATCAATCAACTTAAGTATTATGATTCAACATTTATACCTGTGATATCGATTCTCTTAGTTTTTTTTTGTTCTTAGTAGTCAGATTTAGATTTTAATGACCAAAAAAAACAACAATTATGCTTTTTTGTTTTATAAATTTGATTTATAATTTTTTTTTAATAATAAAATTTTCAAGAGAATGCTGTTTAATTTATATTTTATTGATGTTTCAATTAAGTTATAAAAAAAGATTTTTAATTATCTCTTTTTTTATCAATTTATTGATCATCTTCCCAATCGATATCCATATTATCTAAAAGAGAAAATATAATTAGATTATTGAAAGATACTATTTAAAAGAATTTTTCTAAAGTAAAAATTTTAGTTTATTAATAAAAAATAATCTTTCCTAAAAGAAAAGAATTTCTAATATGTGTTAATCTTCGTATACAAGTCAGTACTTCATTCTCTATTAATTCCATGTGTTTTCTTTGAACCTATGATTTTCAAAGGAGAACAAAAAAAAATTATTTATTCCCAAAAGTTTTTAAATGATGATCGATAGTTTGTCAATAATAAAAAATTTTTCTCATCAATCAAAATACTCAATGGATACATAGCTAAATAATCTAATGTAACATTTAAATAAGCAACGATTCGAATTCCTTAGATGATTAGTTTTACTCACTAGCATCATACCGAGCCGAATAGCACATTGTTATACAAGCATTATTGCATAAATCAGGTGGAATGCCACTTTCACTTTCATTGGTACAATAGTCCATGCATTGTGCAATACATTTTCGCTCCGTTCCTTTCTTATCAGCTGAAGAAACATGTGGTGATACTAATTAAAAAAAAGGATAATCAAATTTTACTATAAATTTTATTTTTTTTTGAAATAATTACTTACAAGATAGAATTATAACAACGAACCAAAGAAAACACAATCTAAAGTTCATTTTAGCTGTAAGATAACGCGGAAAAGAATGTCTAACAATGTTTTGATAAAATTTTTTCTTTTTTTTTAAATACACCTACAAATCCATAAAAACAACATATGTTTTTATACTCATAAGCGAAATAACACAATATTTTGTTTCTCATTGTCACTAATCGAAACTTATGTATTAAATATTGTAAGAAAATGTAGTTATTTTTTTTTCTCTTTAGTAAGAGATTATTAGTCAATATTAAAAAATTTTATTTTGGAGATTTTTAATAATTTACTCATGACTAAATGGATCATTTTCAAATGTATTTAAATAATTGTTTATTTTTTTAATATAATTTAACGCAATAATATTTATCAATATATATTAAGATGAAAATAATTTAATATTTGAGATATACTTAAATTAAAATCATTGAAGAAGGATCATTTACATTTCGATCTGCTCTAGAACTTTTGATTTATGGAGATGATCAAAATTTTGCTTGATAAAAAAATAGCTATGAGATCTAAAAAGATAGAAGAACTATTTTTTTTTGAATAAGGTGATGCTTTGAGAATGTGCATGTCTCGTAACAAGAGGAAGTGCCCAAGTGTGAGTACCCGTTTGCAACCAGCTTTATGCCAATTTGTAGAGCTCGATGATCTGATCACAATTTTGGAAACTTAGTTTTCTATGTTAGTTTAATTCTTAGTATGAAAAACTTTAATAATGAATACGCCTTCACTGACTTTTCACATTTACAAAATCAACACAAATAGAAGTCCTAACTAACAAGAGGACACATTCAACTGTTGGATATTGTTCGACTCCGCAATTTGGCTATGAATTGGACTTACGAGAGAACCTTTTCAATTGACTAATTGCTTTTTGAATTCGGACTCTGTGCATATAGTAGACTCTAGTGAGATATGAAAAACCTTCAAAGGATAAATCCTCTTAGATCTTTTATCCAGAATTATAGGCATTTTAATAAAATTTTAGCTCAAAACAATATTACCTTTCTAAGATGTTCAATCTCCAAGAAACAGAAAATTTTAGCACGTTTCACCAAATATGAGTGACTTTTTAGACTTTAACATCATGGGAAGGAAATACTCTGTTGAATTAAAATGTTAGTAAAATGCCTATAATTCTGCGCAGAAGGTCATAGGGGACTTCATATCTCACTAAGGTGTCCGAGTTTAGAAGTGATTGGTCAGTTGAAAATGTTTCCTCGTCAATAAAACTAAGAAAGTCCTCAAATGGTTTGGATCCATGCGGTTATCTGAAGTTTTGCTCATAGACAGCTCTCAGGGGCGTTTCTTGAGATATAGAGTATCCAGTGAATGTTTATATATATCATAAGGCAAGCCATAGAATTACATTGTCTTAGACACTCGATATCTTAAGCAAAAAATACATCCATTTGAGCTGAATTTTTGAGGATTTTGATTCCATTGAGTGTTACTCATAACCAAAAATATGGGTCGAACGACATCTAACAGTCTAATATATTCCTTCGTAAGTAGATGCTTTGAACATTTCAATACTCTGAATACTGTAGATATATGACATTTCATTGTTTCTTCAAAACTCATCTAATTGCAATTGTATGTTCATCTGTTTACAACATCTATTAAAAATATATGTTGATCATACTTCTTTTATCTGCCTTTACTAATTCTATTTGTTCGCATAAACATAGGAACAAGCAACTAAATACGTAGAATGTAGACTATTGAAAACGAGATTTATTCCGTATATTCACTGTATAGATGTATTTAAACCTATCTATGTTGATTGTGCAGATATGTAAAGTCAATCAAGGTGCATCCAGCGTTAACTTCCAATGCTGAGAACTAAACTAACATAAAAAAGTCAAATTTCTGAAATAATAGCGTACAGTCATTTTTCTGAAGTTAAGATCAACCTAACTCCTCAAAGATAGTCTGTGGAGAAGTACACTTTATTCCATCATGATCAGCTCATCAAACTCTACCAACATATATGAAATTGATTGAAAATGGATGCTCACAACTGAGTTTGCGCCACGAGTGTAGTCCACATGCCATCTAGTATTTTACAGGAAAAATCGAATAATCGGATACTCAACAAACAGAACTTCGTAAAGAAAAAAAATCAGCATCAGTCGAATCTATAAAAATCGGCAATTATTGTAAAAGAACTTATATGATTCCGCCAGAAAGATACTTTATTACACGTTCGATGATTTCATTTTTATTTTCATTGTGAATTCTTGTAGAGCCTATTAAAGAAAAAAATACACACTTAGCCACAGAACATTGTGACAGAATCTCATTTGACTCAAAAATGTTGATTAAATGTTGTTGTTGTTGTTTACTTATTTGGTTTTCTTTCTCTTTTGTTCAAAAACATTCTTCATTCAATAAAATTAATTTCTCAACACGTTCATTGTTGATCTCTTATTATAATAAGATTATTCCCTAAAAAACAACAATTTATTCCATCAAATAATAGAGCAATTCCTTTTCTCTTCTTGTATTTTCTTTCCTACAAGTTGATTGAGAACGTGCTGAAAACGTAACATTCGAGATTATCATCATCTCTCTGTGTTCTGTACTTAGCTTCAATTGAAATAACATCGAAATCGATTCACATAACTGTTTCTAATTTGAGTACTAGCTGCTGTATACCTTCTCAGACATGTCCTCAAGTTTTGTTCCGTGAGAACGAAACCTTATAAGAAAAGGAATCCTGACACCCCTGACCCACACCCACACCCTAGAGATTGAAAACGTCCCCCATCGTTGAATGTCTACGATTGGGAAAGAAGGCTTTCCCGTCGAAAAGTAATATTTAAGAAAGACTGAAAATTCCAGGAATATTATCAATCTGCCAAGTGGTGCGAGAATCTTTACACCATCGATCTACGTTCCTGAAAGAAGGCGAAAACTTTTGGATCGCAAAGGAATTTGCAGGATGCGTACGAAAAACTTTTAGAAGCAAACTATGTGTCATGTCGCAGCAAAAGTCTTCATGGTACCGACCAATGTCTTACGATCATGGCGATCGCTTTCTGATCTTACAGGAATAGATAAGGTGGGTCGAGAAAATTTTCCGGAATCAATCAGGGTATCAAAGGACCTAACAAAGCCTCAGGATACTAACCCAACTCTCTGTTTAGTGGCGAAAACTTTCCGATCCCAAAGCAATTAGTAAGATGGAAAGGGAAAAGCTTCCGAATGGTGATTCTGGTTGGCGTGTAGAAAAATCCACGCCCAGTTTTTATTAATATAAGTACAAACAGTATAATTACGCTTAACAAAAGTTTATTGCATCACTAATGTTTTATATTACTGTCTCTTCAGCTTCTTTAACATTGTTAAACACCATTACTTTTGTCCAATCTCATTGTCTCTCTTTTACTCGTGTCTTGTTTCCATTATTTACAGTTTCATTTGTATTTATCTCCTCGTCAAAAACGTAAGCTGGTACTTCAGTGATTTTCATCGCCGTTGCCATTTTCCAACCAAATCAGATATAATATTGCTAACGAGTGATTGACCTGACAGATCAATATTGAAACATGTGTTTTTTTTCCAAACGACAATTATATAAATATTTAAACTATATCATGGGAAGAAAACGTTTGGAAAATACTTTTAAGCGACAGAAAGGAAATGGCAGAAAATATTTACATGTATATTATATTAGACAATTTTTTTTTGAGAGTGTGGGTATGGACATTCTCTTCACTCACACCCACACCCACACCCTAATATTATTTTTCTTTTATTCTTTTTAAAGATTAAAGTTTTAGTGTATAGAAGTACATTTCATAAGGACTTATTCGGAAATCATGTGGTCACTTTTTTTGAAAATTTGAACGTCTCCTGTGTCTTTGATGATCGAACATAATTTTTTAGAAATTTGCTCTTTTCATCATGTGACATGATGCTAAACTTACCCTTCCTTTGAAGGCACTTTCTTTTCCAGATTTCTCGAAAACACCTTTTAAAAAGCTTCTCAAAACATTCATCGTAAATAGATCTTGGCTAATAGAGTTAAATATGCCACAGAGTTAGCATTCTATGATGCTTCCTTTCACAACAAAAAGCAAACGCAACGGGTCAAGTAGAATTAGAACCTCTTCCTTCTCTCAGCCGACGAACGTTCAACACCCACTTTTATAGTGAAAATTTTTTCTGTGAAGGTTTAGGACCAAATAGGGATCTGCATATTTTTCTTTTGAAAAAAATTGTTCCATTTATGTTGGAGAATCAAGATACTGAAAGACCTCCGAAAAAATAACATGTTTTTGCTGGTTAGAATGAAATTTGTTTAGTCGTCTAAATTTCATCAGAATAACAATTCAATTAAAAAAAAATAGATATACATCACGATGTAGATTTAATTATCATAAAAACTTCAGTTCAGTTTTTATTTTATTTTATTTTTTTATTAAGCAGTTGAGAGATCTGTGCCTAATGGGCCTAACAGTATAAAGAGGAGTTCACCTTGATCCTCAGTGTGTTGCAGCAAGAAGAAACAAGAAACAAAAAACAAAAAAGAGAAAAGAACAAGAAAGAGAGAAAGGTATATATAAAAAGAAAAATAGATGGATGAACAGCACGATGGAGAAGAAAAGGGAAAGAACGACGAGATGATGATAACAAGAATAAGAGCAAGCGAGAAGAAACACAACGAGAATAGACGAAAGGAAAAATAGAAAAACAGAAGAAAAAACCAAAAAAAAAGAAAAAGACGGGACTATATAAAAAAGAGAACTACAGCCCTAAACTAATAGCGACTAGAAAAACACTAGCCAGAGATAGATCAGACCGAGTGAACAACAAGACTAGATATATATCAACAACGACGTGTTTTAATCATAATAGGAGGAGAATGGGTAGTAAGGGAAAAGAGAATATGAAGTTCATCTGCAACTTCCAAAGGTTTCTGGGAATTCTTTTAACAGATCCAAATCTTCTTATGAGAACTGTATAATTGAGTTTGTTAATGGATTCTGATCCAACCATTCCCAA